CCCCCCCCCCCGTTCCCTGGTTGGGGAAGTAGGGGTCTCCCGGAAGATGAAATCCTGCCATCTGTCTGTACGAGAATATAAGTATAAGAAGTACATGAAAGGTTCATAATGCGCTAAAATACTCCTATAGTATTTTAATTCTCTATGTCTGGTTCCCTAGTGCTTTTTGGTATAAGGTTTGTAAGTTTTAGATACGTTGTCCACCTCGACCACTCCTAAACACATGTTGGTCATGTCTTGAATAAATATAGTTGATCAGGCTATATTTACCCTAGATATGATTACATAACTGTCTAAGTTTGATCGCGATGTCCAACTCTTCTAAATACTTTCTATTTGTTTCTTGTTATGACACTATCCTTAATATGCACACATATATGTATACTTTTTATAAAATACTTATATCTTTAAAGTATACTTTTAGTCAGAGTGTTTTTAGTCCCATTGTATTTATAGTTGTATATCCTGTATTGTTAGATATACTAGTTCACTATAAACAATGCTCTGATACCAATCTGCCACACCCCCGGACATTTCCGCCGTCCTGGTTCGGGGGGTGTGACATCTTAGGACCCACCTGCATACAAGTTAGCTATGCCCCTCCTTTTGTGCCATGTGAGAATTTTGGTTGCGTTTCTATCCCATTTTAGATCTATGGTTTGAGTTAGGTTGGTTTTGGCCATGCATATGGATAAAGTTTGAAACTTTATCCATTAAGATCATTTTTAGAAATGATCCGGAAAGTTTGAGCCTTACTCTTAAGAGATTAAGAGCTTATTCTAAAAAATGGAATCCAACTGAAAATCATGACACGACTAAGGATAGGCCGCAATATGCAAGTTGAATGGACTTCACAACTATTTTGTCGCGTAGTGAGTCGCGACACGTCGGGTCAAGGGTCACGACACACTTATCCATTGACCGTTGACCGTTGGTTGTTGTCTTTTTGACTAGTTTGATTTTTTGGTCAAACTTGGTTGATTTTTAACTATAGAATAAGGTTCTATTTGGTTTTAGGTGGTTCGTATTAGTTGATTCAGGGAGTTGTGTTTAGGGATATGCTTCAGGATAGAACCGACCCGAACCGGACTGGGCCCAAATAACCCGAATTGGATGAAAAGTTGGAATCGAAACCCAGACTGATTACACTAATACGAGACCGGTTCGATTAGAGTAATACGAGGTTCAGTTCGGTTATTAACCCGAAAGGACCGAAATAACATGTACACTATGCTTTTGAACCGAAGTAACCCAAATAACCCACATATACCGAAATGACCCGAATAACCCATAAACGGAAATTCTATATCTAGTTCTAAGAAAAAAAAATATATTAAACATTGATATGGCGATTACCCCAGTAGGTTTTTTTGAAACTTCGATCGATAGGTGCGACAATACGTAATACACAAGAGCCAGGAGGGATCGATCAAGTGACAATTCAATTTCCTGGTTGGTCCTTTTGGCACGATTAAACCTTTATTCGGGTAACCCATACCGAATAACCCGAGAACTGAATTAGGCTAAAATAGATACCCGAGAACCGACCCAAATAACTTATTCAGGTAACCCAAACCGAATAACCCTAGATTGTCTTTGTGACTTCTATATGAAAGACTATGATTGAATCTTATCAATTGTATGAAAGACTATGAATGGATCATAACAATTATATGAAAGACTATGATTGGATCACAACAATCGTATATGAGACTATGATTAGATCATAGCATTTGTATGAAAGACTAAGCTTTGTGCATACAGTTTGAATTTTAAATGTTTTCATGTTGTTTTGATAGCAAGCGAAAGGGTGTGTCATGATTATATCACATCCATTGATCTGTTTTTGGAGACTTCCGTCGATTTGATTTTACTATCTTGTTATTACTCTAGTTTTTTAAACATATCTGACATGTCTTGAACAAATGGTTGTTTTTATCATTGACGGTGCCCACCTGAAAGGGAAATACCTAGGAAGTATATTTCGAGCAGTAGCCATGAACGATAATAACCAAATCCCCCCACTGGCATTTGGATTTGAAAAAACAAAAAGTGGGGAACCATAGATATGTTTTTTATCAAGATTGAAAGAATGTATTCATCATATCTAACAAGGCCAATTCCATTAAAATCACATTTTAAGATGTGTTTCCAAACGCATATCATAGACTTTGTTGTCGACATTTGTTGATGAATATGCAAGCAAAGATCAGTCGTCTCTATCTACCGTGAACTATTAAACCACCACAAAGCACTATGTTCCGTATGAGTAGGTTGTATGGTCTTGATCATGTGATTGTGCACATCTCAATAAATAAAGGTTACTGATAACATATTCCCTTAATAACATGTTATAAAAAATGGCAATCTAACATGCATACCACAGTAAACCGACCCTAAACGCATAATAATCGGCCATATAACCGCCCGATGGATGACACTCGATATATGGTTACCGAGTATCCTATAGAAGGAAAACGTCTCCATGATCTGAATGTATTAAATTAAGATGTCAAACCAGTAGTAAACATAATTATGTTAAAATAGTTGGGCAAAATAACCCAATATTTTCACCTTAAAGGCATACATAAACCTATGCACATCATAGAAAAGTATTTAATGGTTCTTGGGCGGGTGATGTGCATATGGTCCTCGATTTTATCAAAGACGGTGGACATCTATTTGTAGGTGTAATCCCATATTACTCTTCCCTAAGGATACCCGTGTCACCAGAAAGTCTGCATATCGTAAAAAAATTAAATTCAATGTAAAATGATGAATTAATGTAAATTACTTGATACCTGTTGAATTTGATACCAGTGCATGGAATTCACTATGTAGTGGTTGCCTAGGGTATTTACCACAAAACCCTGTTCTAACATATACATTACAGACACCCGGACTGCATTTTGGTCGAATGAGTCTTTGAGATTTTGAGATCTCTCCATCGAGTCATGGCTATAGGCCGACTCCAAAGCTTTCCATACTTCACGAGAGGAAGAGAAACCTAACACTTCAGCCATTGCTTCTTCAGACAACGAAGATTGGAGGATGAGAAGCACTTTCTGATCGATTTCAACCCATGAGACATAAGCGGGATTTTGAGTCTCTTTGCCTTCAATCAGAGTTGTTTTTGGAGGAGCAGGGCACGAGCCATCAACAAAACGCATCCAATTTTGATGGAGCAGCAGTGGGTTGATTTGATTTCGCCAGAGGAGATAGTTGGAAGAGTTTAACTTGATTGTAAACATATGGATGAGAGTGTTCATAGGAAGTAAAGAATCTGTGGAAGTAGACATAGCTGATGAAGAATTTTGCCGAGAAGAAGAAAGGGAAAAAAAAAAGAAAAAAAAGGGGCGGCTGAAATAGGGTTATGAGAAAGAGAGGATCAAAAGTTTGCTCTGATACCATATTAGACTTTAATAATCTGTTCTCAATATTATAATTGAACAAAGGAAGAGGTATAACTACAAAGATACAACAGTAAATCAGAGCTATACAAGGAAAATAGATACAACTTTGACTAATTTAATAAAAATTTAGGTCATGATTTATCTCCAATACCAGAGATCCAAATGCTCACCCCTATTTCGAAAAAGTTCTTCCCATTTTCGACATGAACTTCGTGTTCTAGAGATGTTTTTTTCTACCTTGGTACATGTTTTGGTTGTTCCTAATACAAATATTACTCATACAAAAGGCCTAAATAGCAACAACCACTACTACAAAGGAAATATTTTAGCTAAAAAGCATTACATAGACAATCGTATTTCAGACAACATTTAAATATGTAATATGCTTAAATTAACGTAATGTATATGTAACCTGCGCATAAAACTTCGAACTATTCACCATGAAGACATTCTCTTGAAAAAGCAAAAAGAACTCTCAAATGAGCGGAATGGGAATTGACTTAAGTCTAAATGCGATTTTGAACTTAACTTTCCAAAATGTTACATATATGGGGGACGTCAGTAAGGAACCAAGTTTACCATGCTGACGACCCGGTCAAATTCCGATCCAGAACGCGACATCGACATTCAGGACTAATCGATTATTTTGCAAAAGTAAATTTTTGGTTCTTTTCCTTTACGTTTACATGAGATTATGTTAATTTTACTTAATATCCCTTATTTTTGTTAGCATACTCATCTATTTCTATCATTTCTACCATTTATAAATTTATTTGGTTTTTTGCTAGAAACTATGAATATTCAGAAAATACAAAATAACAAAACCATTGGATACCAAAAGGTCTTTGGCCTAGCGGTAAGGAGTGATAATCTCATTTGAGAGGTCATGTGTTCAAGTCTCATCATCATCTAGTAGATGATAATTAGAAGTAGATTAGTTTGCTGTTTAAAAAAAAAAGAAAAAAACCATTTGATTATTTTTAAATCATCTTAAACCGACTAAATAAGGCAAGATTTTTGTTAAATCCTAATGGATATAAAAACTAAGGCCGTAAAGATCGGGATACAATATAAAATATTTTATGCTTTAAAAAATCATGATTATAAGATTGAATTGGAATCGTAGGATTCTTTTAAAACATAAAAAAAACATATCCATTCATCAATTAACAATAAATACTTTGTAACATGAAAAATACATTTTTGATAAACCATTTAACAATAACCAATTCAAAAAAGTTTTGTAGGATTCATATTTGATTCACTTTACAAACGATCTTATGATCATCCCTCCGATCCTAATATCATTGGGATCGATTTACCTAAATGAGATCGTATGACATCACAATTTTAACAACCTTATAACAAAAAATAAATTTAAACATAAAAGAAGATATAATCGCATATGTATGTACATGTACATCTTTTATTCATGCTTTTTCACCAAACATGGTTTTACCCTAGCAGCAAAGTGAAAACATCAACTTAGGATCCGAAAATACAATTCAAGAAAGCAAAATGATCAACTCACCCAAAAAGCAAAACATACACGAAAAGCTGTAAAAACTACTATTTCATGTTTTTTTAATCAATAAGAACATAAACAATTTATCTACACCATAAATTTGCAACATATAACATTCTAAAACAAGCAAAAAAACAAAACCATTTTACAAACCACATATCAACATTTTTATAAACTAAAACCCTACTTGCAAAACACTAATTAAATACACAATCCATCTTTTAATTCCTCATGGGATTTATTATTATTTCAATCGTGAAAGAATCTTTAGAACTTCTTCCATTGAAGGCCTATCAGAAACCTTGCTTGTAGTGCATCCAAGAACAACTTCAAGAACCACCTTTATTTCCTCTCGAGTAGACTTTGAAGAAGAAGAAGCACCAACTTCATTTTCATTATATATTTCCTTCAAAATAACATCTTTCGGTGTCCGTTGTACACTCATTCCCCATTTTTTTCGTTTTCCATTTGTTAAAATTTCAAGAACAAGTTCCCCAAAATTAAATATATCGTCTTTCAACTCGTGATCCGTGACACCGTTGTATTCGCCTGTCATAGATAAATGATGTTTAAAATATATTCAAGAAAATGGTTAAATGCAAGAAATCGCAATGTAATTTTGTTTTAAAAGGTATTTCACAAAACCCATGCACAAAATGAGTGGCTATTTTGTAATAAAAGTTAAGAAGTTGGTTATTTTGTGATATTAACTTTCTTCTTTTGGTTATTTTTGTGATTAGCCCAAAATAAATAAATGAAATTTGTAAAAGGTTATGGACTTAATCGGAAAAAAGCTACTTTGTGTAACTTTTTTTATTTAGACTATGTTTGATGTATTAGCTGAAAATATAGTTGTCAACTAAAAAACTAACTGTCAACTAAAAAACTAACTGTCAACGTACTGCAAAAACTAGCTGCTAGCTTATAAGATAGCTGATATAAAATGACGTTTGGTAAAAACGAGCTGGAAGATATAAAATGACAAAAAAAGTCGTTTAGAAAAATATGTTATTTATAATTAATTAAGGGTATATTTGAAAAAATTTTAAAAATTGAAAAGCTAGTTTAAGTAATTTTTTTAGAAGCTAACTTATAAGCTACTTCTTGGCTTGCCAAACATACAACTTAAAAAAGCTCGAAAAATAAGCTATCTTATCAGTTAACTTCTACATTAACTAAAAGAAACACTCATATATAGTTTACCTGATTCCATTGCAGATATTGTTTTGAATGCGAATTCGGCCAAACGTGGCTCCATATTTTCATCAAAAACCACATTACTTGCCTTCAAATTTCCATGAGAAATAGCCGGACGACAATCATGGTGAAGAAAACATAACCCTTTTGCAATATTAACCACAAGCCGATGTTTCGAACCCCAATCTCTCTTGATTCCAATCTTTTCATCAAGATTCCCATTTGGCAAATACTCATACAACAAATACCCAAGATTCTTATCATAACAAAAACCCAACAACCGAATCACATTCTTATGTCTTGCATTCCCAATTCGGTTCACAAAATCCATCAAAAGATTCGAACTTTTTGCCCCCCATTCGATTTTTCTCACAATTACAGTCATCCCGGTTAGCAAAACCGCTTTGCAAACGGAATTAGATGAATGTTGGGATTCCATCGCTTCAATGGAATCAAAACTTTTTAAAACATCGGAAGCCGTGAGATTTGGTAATCCACCGAAGGAATCGAGATTCCAATTCCGGTTTACGTTTTGTTTTCGATAGTAAATGATCCCGAAAAGGGAAGCCAAGAGTACAACTACTATTGCACTTAGTATAAGCACCCAAGCTATTTTGTGATTCCGGCTTCTTAATTCCATTCCGGTGTGTATTCCATTCCCGTTGTGGCATGGGGTTACGAGGGGTGCACCACAAAGGTTTGGGTTTCCAAGAAAGGAAGTAATTTCCATTGATGTAAATGGAATTGGACCTGAAAGATCGTTGTTTGACAAGTTAAGAGATTTCAACTTCATGGAGTTTCCTAACTTCGCCGGAATCTCGCCGGAAAATTTATTTCCGGCCAAATTTAATGTTTCGAGGCTGTTGCAAACAGATAAACTCTCTGGGATGATTCCGGATAAGTGATTCTGGTTCAATTCGATTGAGTATAACGACTTACAGAACTGGAATCCGGGGATTTCGCCGGAGATATTGCAAGAAGAAGCTGAAAAATTCTGGAGCGCCGGCGACGACCATGTTTTTTCCGGGAGGGTCCCACCAAGTTCGGGATTATTAGAGACGCTAAAAAACTCGAGATTTGAAGCAAGAAATATATCAGAAGGAATCCCATTTGTAAACCTATTCCCAGATAAATCGATATAAGAGACATTACTAAGAAGCTTGAAATCCAAAGATATATCACCGGAAAACGAATTGTCTTCGAGGCGAATACGAATAAGAGAAGAACAATTGGAGATTGACGAAAGGGTACCCGTGAAATAATTCGAAAAGAGCATTAATTTCGTTAACGCACCTTGTGAACATATATCTGGAGGAATCACACCCACGAAACCATTTGATGAAACATCGACAGATATGAGTTTAGAGTGTTTGCCCAATTCTTGTGGAAGTGTGCCACTAAAGAGATTATCCCAAATAAGAAGCGATTCGAGCTCTGGAAGCTTCGCGATGCCCTCGGGAATAGAACCATTCATGTCGTTATACATAAGGCTAAGCAATTTTAGGCTTTTCAAATCTGAAAAACTCTCTGGAATAGGGCCGGAAAGCATGTTGTCGGAAAGATCTAGGCTTGAAAGAGTCAAAATGTTGCCGATTTCCATTGGGATTAAACCAGAGAGATGGTTTTTGAAGAGGAAAAGTGTGTTAAGTTTGGTTAATTTACCTAAATCCTTTGGGATTGGACCTGAAAGATTAGCTCCGGCTATATCGAGATACTGGAGCTCACTCATATTACCAAATTGCCATGGGATGTTTCCTTGATAAGAATTGTATCCGATCTCCATGTGAGTGACAGTTTGAAGGTGTCCAAACTCGATTGGTAGATACCCAGTTAGAGAATTGCCTGCGAGGTGAAGAAAATCGAGACTTTTGCATGATCCGTATGCTCCTGGAATGGGTCCACTGAAATAACTTCCAGCAAAGTTAAGAACTTTCACAGACGCAATTTCACAGACATCTGGCGGAAGTGATCCCGAGAAGCTGTTGCTGAAAGCATCAAGAACTTCCAAGTTCTGGAGATTGGATATTCCAATTGGGAAATCGCCGGAGAAATTGTTTCTGCTAATGTCAAGGGTTTTCAAGCTGGTGAGATTGAAGATCCCGATAGGGAGTTCGCCGGAGAACGAGTTGTGACTTATGTTTAGATCAATTAGGTCAACAAACTGATTGAACTGAACCCCAGATAAAACCCCACTGAGATTTTTCAAAGAAAGGTCTAAGCCGATGACTTTTGTCGAGTTTTGATCGCATTGTACACCCGTCCCAAGAACAAGCATGAATATTTGGAGATGGGTTTTGTTCTTGAGGGATAACCCAATCGTTTAAAACATCTGGTGGAACAGTGAACTCTGATTTCAAGCTCAATAGTGCTTCTGAGAAAGGATCGGAAGCAGATGAAACGGAGAAGATGAACATGAAGAAGAAATAACAATAAAGAATCTCCATCTCAAACCTACAGCTGGAGAGGGGAAGAAAGGTTGAATCCAAGAACTCGATTGGGGGTTTTCTTGTGAACGGATTGAATTACATACATCGAAGAAAGTTAGGTCAATTTATGCTCGTCGTAATTATGATTTATTAATGCATTGGGACTGCAAAAAAGTTGGCAGAAAAGGAGGGAATGGCATCATACTGTGAAGTCGTAAGCTGGGGTTTTGAATTGCTTTTGGAAGTATTGCCAATTGCCATGGCCATGGGGTCGGAAAATCGGATAATAACTCGTGAAGTACTCTATACTCCTTCCACAAAAAGACATTATCAACATAAGTTCAAGTTCTATAGTGAAATTCTGTTAACCAAAATCAAAAAAAGAATATAAAAAATAATTTTATTAGAATTATATAGCATTACTATTAATACTTTAATATAATAAATCATTACTTTTTTATTTTATATAAAATTTAATGATTTTGATGTAATACATATACAATTTGTTTTACAAATTAGCTCACTCAAGACGTTACATGTGATTACTAACAATTTTTTAGAACATTATTCTGCCTTTTAAATCTATATATTTGTTTCAAAATTAAATTGAATCCTTAACTTGTGAAGCAGTTATCGGTCAACTCCTAATATTGTTAGATATAGTACCCTTTGGTTATATATAATTAGACGTCGCACATGAATAGAAGTGGCAAAAACTGACACAATACGAAATCTGACACAAAATAAATGGGTTTGAGTAAAATATTTTAACCAGTTTATTTAAACAGATCGACACGACACGACACAAAAACTAAACGGGTAAGGTTAGGGTTGATAATTTCAACTCGAATATGACTCGAAAATCACCCTTTTATTTTATAAGTTTTTTTTTATTAATTTTATTTATTTATTTATTCATTTATCTTAGTAAATAAACTAGAAAGGCACAAAACCAATACCATAAGTAAAAGAAAATCTTTGTGTTAAGTCGTTTTCTAATGTGGAAACAACATTTTTGTCTAGTCAAGACTTCATTTACAGTATTTCTGTTATTTCTCAAACTACATAGTTCCCTCGACCACCCCTCATCTTCAAGATCTTGCCCTCCGCCTCCCGATTATTACTTTTTCATTTCCACCTACCTAATGCATACTTTTTCAACATGTTTAGTGTTTCAACCTCACATGTCACAACGCATTTCAAGGTATACCCCTAACCCGAAACCCAACACGAAAATAAACGGGTTGAGACGACACAACACGTTAATTAAATGGGTCGGGTTAGGGTCGGACTCTATCAACCCGTTTACTGTTTTGACACGACACATGTTTGACAGGTCTACGCATGAATATAATTATATAGTTAAAATGATAATAAATATATTTTGTTAAAATATCTATGTCATTGCCATTAACTATGAAATAACTATTTTTCTATATCAAATCAAAAGGTTGATGTAACACATTACCATTAAATGTAATCATATGATATAATAGATTAATGTTAATATTGAAGATGCAAATTTTATAAAACCCTAACTAATATTGAGTCGAGCATAACTGCTCAAATCAACTATCAATAAAGGTCTATACCGTAGGAGGCCCCATTTTGTTTTCAAGTTTTTAAACTTTACTAGATCGTCATCAATTCAGGTCATTAATTCTCAAATCATATTTTACGGTATCCATTACATGAGATCCTCTAAATTTTTTTACGATAAGTCACCATATGATGTCACTGACTCAAGAATCGAATATAAATTCCTTGTGTAGTTGATCAAATTATAATCGTGCATACAATCAATAATAGAGTTTTGGATAAGCGATCAAATTTACTATTGAGTGTTGATGTATGTCGTTTAAAAAAATATCATTAATGGGCTATTTGGATGTACTAATTAATTAAATCCAATGTTTAGAATAAATTATAAGGGATACGTTAATTGAATGCGAGCAAATAGAAACATCAATGCAAGCTCAAAATATGTGTCTATACCTTTTAAGAAGCCACCAACTTACGAGAATATGTTTCTAAAAAAACGACTCAAAAATTTAGACACACTTAAATTGTTGGTTTTAAACTTAAAAAAAAAACGATACACAAAAAATGTCATATTGTTCAATACATACATGCTTTAGTAAGCAGGTTGCCAAAAAAAAACTTGACCTAGATTTAAAGATATTTTCCATGCATAAGACAACCACTAATGATGAAGAATAAATATAGAATCATTATTGTCAACTAGTCACTCAAAATTCAAATTTTGAACTCGTGATTCGACTCGTTATATATATATATATATATATATATATATATATATATATATATATATATATATAGATATATATCTCATTTTTCAAACTTAACCTCACTTTATTAATATATATATATATATATATATATTATATATATATATATTCATTTTTCAAACTTTAACCTCACTTATATATATATATATATATGTTCAAATGTTTTTCACATCTATTATGTGCCAGAATGCACCAATAAGAATTTAGTTAAAATTAAATTATTATTTAATCAGATAAAGACATATATTAAATTATTTCCATAATTATATGTATATTAAATGATATCTATAATTATAATCTTTTTTTTATGAAAACTAATTAAATTCGTCATTAATGTCAGCAATAATATTCTTTCAGAATGATTTCGTATCAAGAAGAATGGGTTTGTATTCTAGCAGAGAATGAGAATGTATTATAGTAAAATATGCACACGTTTTTCATATTCTATGCAACTTTATTATATTTTAAGTGAGTGTGTTCTGAAACAAAACACAAATTCATACATAAAACCTAAATACGAATTCATTTTGAAATAATGTTATTGCTACCATTAATGACAAATTTAATTAGTTTCCATAAAAGGAGAATTATAATTATTGATATCATTTAATATAAATATAATTATGGAAATCATATAATATAAGATATATATATATATATATATATATATTATATATTTAATTAAATAATTATTTAATTTTACTAAATTCTATTGATGCATTCTAACATACAATAAATATAAAAAACACATTATAACTAACTAACTAACTAACTAACTAACTATATATATATATCTATATATATATCTATCTATATATATTATATATATATATATATATATATATATATACCTTAAACCTTCAATCATTAGCGAATGACAATTATTAACTTTTGTACTAATTTGTAAATATATGTACGGGGTTTTGAATTTATTGTTGTTTCTTTTTCTAATGCATATGTATTTTAAAAAAAACATATTTAGGTCAATTGATATTAAAGAATTTGATATTTGAATGATCCAATTATGTTCATACTAAATTTGTGATGAATTTGAAATAAAATATTGATGTTCAGATAAAATTCTCAACAAAATTTTAAATTTAGACCAAAAATATAAAATTAGAGAGCATGATGACTCATTCAATTTGAGATAGCAAGTAAACATATATAAAACACTAGGTGTGAGACCCATGTACTATATGAGTTAATTTAAAAAAAAAAGTTAAATATGAAGGTATAAATATTTGAGAACTTTGGATTTACAAGAAAATAAGAAAAATAATGAATTATTAAAATTGAAATATTTTTTATCTTTCAAATTGAAACAAATAACTTAACTAAATAAACAAACAAAAAAGCTAATTAACTTTAATTTAAGAATTTTGAATTTATAAGGTAAGTCCATTAATACAATTGATATTCATTTATTACTACATTTATTGTAATTAATAAATTGAAATGTTATATGAAATTTAATAAAATAGGAAAACTTATAAAATGACATGTGGAAAAAAAAATTATTACAAATAACCACAAAATGATATTTGACAAATTGAATTAGAGTGATATGTGGCAAAAAAATATTTATTTATTAGAGTAGAAGATGAATGAGTTACCTTTTTAAAAAATATAAAATGTGTTTTAATAAACTTAAAAAAACATTTTTATTTTTTATTTTCTCAAATCTAGTGAAATCATTTCTATTATTATTACTATTATTATCGAGTAATATATATAACATAATTTTTGTTATTATTTCATTTTTATTGATTAATATAATATTTTTCGTTGATAGTATTTATTATAAAGGGAAATCTTTGGAAAAGTCATAATATTTCACCCTAATTTACGAAAAAGTCCCAAACTAAAATTGGTTTATGAAAAAGTCCCGATTACTGGAAAAATGACGATTTGACCCTTTTTTTCCGGTTTATCGGTTTCAATACTTACCCGGTTTCATTAAAGTCTCATTATTTTACCAAAATTTTCATTAAAGTCTCATTATTTTACCATAATTTGGGACTTATTCGTAAATTATGCTAAAATAATGTGACTTTATTAAAACCCGATAATTAACGAAACCGGTAAATCGGGAAAATATGGCCAAATCGTCGTTTTTACCGGTAATTGGGACTTTTTCATAAACAAATTTTAGTTTAGGACTTTTTTGTAAATTAGGGTAAAATATTAGGACTTTTCCGGAGATTTCCCTATAATAAACTATTAAACTTTGAGTTTGTTCATACAATGAGTTTGTCTCCTGTAGATAAATGTCTAAAATTAAGCAAAAGGATAAAATAATTGTAAATGCACTAATATTATTTATGTAATGGCTTTTGGACGTGCTTAATATAAAATTGCATAAATATGACAAGGTGTTTTTCTTGCATAATATGTTTTACATGAATGATGTTTGGTTTGCACAATTCAAAGAGATTATGCATGTCTAAAATATTTTTCTTATATGAAAGCGTGATTCTTTATTTTCAAAGAGTCTATGCAAGTCTTGGTGTTTATATGTATGTTAAATTTATGTGATTATATGATTCATTTTTAATTATATATCTAATTATTGCAAATATAATCTGTGAAGATCATTGTGAGATGATGTGCTAAATTTTACGATCTATCATGCAAAGCTCAATGCATTAATTATTGCAGCTGAATCATTTTGTATGAAATGTTGGTTGAGAAATTAAATATCTTTGTATCTTTTTTTTTCCTTACCTATATAGTTATATTTATATATATGGTGATAAATTTCATATTGAATGGAGAAATTAAATATCCTTATACTTTTCTTCTTATTTATTCTTCTATCTATTTGATATCTATTTGAAATGATGATAAATATATTGAAATATAAATAATATTATTCAAATATGACACTTCTCACCAATACCAATTATATGGATAGAAATATAAATAGGAAGAAAATATAAAAAGAATTTCTAGAATCATAAACAATTCAAAGTTTCTTGTTTTGATTTCGGATAATTT